GATATGTGCTTCTCATATCAGAGAATAAATGAGGATGATCTGTCTTATTACTGGTGATGTTAACCTTGATCATTTGGCTGAGATGATACTTCCCAGATTTCTCCACTTTAAAGTGATTGTTCTTTTTTTTTCAGTTAGTTAATATTTCTTGGGGGGATATTTGGAGGTGATACAAATATTGTGTTTCTCCTTACACTTTCATCTACTAATTTTAGCATCCATTAGTCAATGATGCTTGCAGAAATTATTATTGTGGTATTCTAATAGTGATTTTCTATTTCCCTCATTGCTTCCACATTTATTAATTGGAATGATTCTTTAAGGAAGATTATCTCTTCTACTCCATTTATTTATTTATTCAGTTATTTATTTACATCAGTATAGGCCCAACAATATTTATCTTATTCCTTGGTTTATAATCCAATACTATTCTTATTTACCTTCTTGCTCAAATAACTTTGGTAGGAGCTCTTTTAGGTTAGCTCCTGTGCCTTTTTCACATGTTGCCAACCTCTCTGAGCATTTTCTGACATCACAATTTGTTCCAGGATAAACTTGTATTTTCTCTCAGTCTCAAATCAATCACCTCTTCAATAAGCCATGGTTCCTTTTATTGGACACTTTACCAGTCTAGCCTAGTACACTGATGGTAGTTTAAAAAGACAAAATTTGGGTATTACTTGTTGTATCAGTTCATTCTTGCATTGCTATAAAGAAATATCTGACACTAGGTAATTTATATAAAAAAAGAAGCTTAGTTGGCTCATGGTTCTGCAGGCTGTACAGGAAGCATAGCAGCTTCTGTTTCTGGGGAGGCCTCAGGAAGCTTCCAATCATCACAGAAGGCAAAGAGTAAGTGAGACATCTCAGATGGTGAGAGCAGGAGAGAGAGAGAAAGAGAGAGAGGGAGGAGGTGCTGCACAATTTTAAGCAACCAGATATCATGAGAACTCACTATCATGAGGACAGTACCAAGGGGGACGCTGCTAAACCATTCATGAGAAACCATGATCCAATCACCTCCCACCAGGGTCCACTTCCAACTCGGGAGATTGCATTGTAACATGAGATTTGGTGGGGATACAGAGCCAAACCATATCTGGTGTATTCCTTGCTATTGGGGTGTTACTTCTTCTAAAGCTTCTCAGCAGACAGAGCTAGGAAATCTGTGTGTGTATACTAACTTACATATGCACACACCTATATTTATTTCTGTATTTCTGACTCCAATCTAGCAGCACAAGTTTCATTCTAGCCTTCTTCCTTTCCTTTTTTATAACCTCATTCTTTGGATAGTAAGAAACTGGATTCTCATTATCTATAATGTATTTATTTGCTTAATTCTACTATTGTAGGATTATCTAAACTATTTTTCAAAGTTACTTCAGCCATATTCTTTTCTTCCCCCTTCCCTTCAGTGTGGTTATGTGATTCATTCCATTTGATTTATTTATTGTAGTCAGTTTCATTAGTCACAGCCTGCATTCCATCTTGGATTCCTTCTGCTTCCCCACATGGTGATTGATTTATTTTGTTTGATTTTTTAAAAAAATTCTTATTTTTTATGGAAAAACCTCATTTTGTCATACATTATGTTTATCTTTTCTCTACTTTCTTTAACATATCAATAATGATAATCTCTGGGTCTGCATTGACCATTAAAAAAAATTTGGTATCCTTTTCCTGTTTCTTTAAATGTCTGGTAATTCTTATTGTATGCTGGACATTGTGGATAATAGATTATAGAGGTTCTGGATTACGTTAAATTACCAGAGAGCCACTCTGATCCTGTCAAGTCTTGGTTTTAGGCCTTGCTAGGTCAGACCTATTTTATTTTTGCATTTACTTCTATGAGTTGTCCCTATTCTAGGGTGAGAGCTTTCTGGGGTCTCAAAAGATTGGGATGTTCACCAAGGTCTCACAATGTCTCCTCATTAATATGTGAATTCAGGTATTTCTGCTTGATTATCAGCCTCTTAGCAAGAATTTTTAAGGGGCTTCCCACAGTTTCACCCTGCAATTGTGCAACTTTGGATTTGGCCAAGGATCTGAGAGAAATTATATACAGTCATGCACTGCATAAAGTGTTTTGGTCAATGACAGTGGTGGTCCCATAAGATTATAATAGAGCTGAAAAATTCGTATCATCTAGTAATGTCATGGCTGTCATAATATCATAACACATTACTCATCTGTTTGTGGTAATGCTGGTGTAAACAAATCTACTGTGCTGCCAATTGTATAAAAGTATAGCACATACAATTATGTACAGTACATAATACTTTGTAATGATGATAAATGACTATGTTACTTGATTATGTATTTATTAAAATATACTTTTTACTGTTATTTTAGAGTGTGCTCCTTCTACTTGTATTAAAAAAAGGTAGCTGTAAAACAGCCTCATGCAGGTTCTTCAGGAGGTGTTCCAGAAGAAGACTTTGTTGTCATAGGAGATGACAGCTCCATGTGTGTTATTGTCCCTGAAGAACTTCCAGTGGGATGTCAGGTGGAGGTAGAAGACAGTGATATTGACAGTCTTGGCCCTGTGTAGGCCTAGGCTAATATGTGTGTTTGCATCTTAGTTTTTAAGAAAGAAGTTTAAAAAGTAAAAAATAAATTAAAAATTTTAAAAATAGATAAAAGCTTATAGAATAAGAATATAAAGAGAAAATAATTTTCTATAGCTACATGATAGCTACATGATGTGTTTTAAGCTAAATGTTATTACAAAAGAGTCAAAAAGTTAAGAAAATTCAAGTTTATAAAGTAAAAAGTTACAGTAAGCTAATATTTATTTTTGAAGAAGAAAAAATTAAAAAAATAATTCTAGTGTAGCCTAAGTGTATAGCATTTATAAAGTCTATAGTGTATACTGTAATGTCCTAGGCCTTCACATTTACTCACCACTCATTTACTGATTCAACCAGAGCAACTTCTGGGCTTGCAAGCTCCGTTCATGGTAAGTGCCCTATATAGCTGTACCATTTTAAATCTTTTATACTGCATTTTACTGTACATTTTCTATTTTAGATATGTTTCAATATGCAAATCGTTAAATTACTGTTGCATTACAGTTGCCTACAGTATTCAGTACAGTTACATGCTGTACAGGTGTGTAGCCTGGGAGCAATAGGCTATACCATGTAGTCTAAGTGTGTAGCAGGCTAAACCATCTATGATGTTTGTGCAATGACAGAATTGCCTAATGATTCAGTTCTCAGGATTTATC